TGATGACATGCTCGTTGCAGGCTCAGACATGCAAGAGATTATAAACTTGAAGCAAAAATTGTCGAAGCAGTTTGCTATGAAGGATCTGGGCATTGCAAAGCAGATTCTTGGGATGAGGATAAAGAGAGATACAAAGTCGGGGACTTTGATGTTATCACAGGCTGAGTACATCGACAAAGTACTTTACAGGTTCAACATGCAAGATGCTAAACCAATAAGTACACCTTTAGCTGTTCATTTTAGACTCTCCAAAGAACAGTCACCAAAGATGGAGGAAGAACGTGCACACATGGTGAAGGTGCCGTATGCCTCAGTAATTAGAAGTCTGATGTACGCCATGGTTTTTACCAGACCAGATATTGCTCATGCAGTGGGAGTTGTTAGCAGGTACATGAATAATCCAAGCAAGGTACACTGGGAAGCAGTCAAATGGATCCTCAGATATCTACGGGATACCACAAACAAATCACTTTGTTTCAAAGGTGGAGATACGATACTAACATGCTATGTAGATGCTGACTTAGCCAGAAATGTCGACATTAGAAGAAGCACTACAAGGTATGTCTATACTCTAGGAGGAACTGCAGTGAGTTGGGTTTCTCAACTACAGAAGATAGTTGCTCTCTCCACAACTGAAGTAGAATATGTCGCTGTTACGGAAACCAGCAAAGAGATGGTTTGGCTCCAAAGTTTCTTGGAAGAGTTAGGCAAGAAACAAGAAAACAATATATTGTATTGCGACAGTCAAAGTGCTATACATCTAGCAAAGAATCCGTCTTTTCATTCTAGGATGAAGCACATACAATTGAGATATCATTTTATCTGGTCTCTTCTGGAAGATGGGATTTTGAAACTTGAAAAGATTAGTGGAGCTCAAAATCCGGCAGACATGTTGACAAAGACGGTGACTACGGATATACTGAAGTTGTGTTCAACTTCAGTTGGCATGCTAGAGTAACAAGACTAGAAAAGCTGCTGCATTGATCGAGGTGTGAAGACATATTAAAATAAGTCTTCAAGTGAGAGATTGTTAAAAGTTCAAAGTTTGACAACCAACTTTGAAAAAATTATTTTCAAAGTTTGGTAAATGTTCTTTGAAAATGGTTTTCAAAGTTTGGTAAATGTTTCTTTGAAAAATGGTTTTTCAAAGTTTGGTAGATGTTTGTTGAAAAATTGTAATGGGATAATTATTATTAGTCACTGGACTTTAAGGCATTTATAAGATTAGTCCTTAACCTTCAACTATAAATACCATAGCTCATTTAGCTTCAAAATCATCCCAAAAATCATTTCTTTATCCCAATACTAGAGAGTTTTATTGTGAGTAGTGAGTGTTTTGTAAATACCTGTAAATTTTCTCTCTTAGTAAAAGATCTGCAGCAGTCCGAAGACGTAAGCAAATTGGCTGAACATCGTTATCAATTTTGGGTATTATTTTTCCGTTTTTATTTCGCATTCTCACTAATCTGGTTATAGGGAAATTACTTGTTACTCGTTTTATTTCCCAACATTTAGATATAGGCGACGACAATTCCTTGTTGTTAGGGGGAGGTTTTAATATTATTCTTAATCCGGTTGAGAGGACAGGTGGAAAGCAGAAAATAGCACGGGGGAATACAACGTTTAATGAGTTTATTTTTTAATCAGGGATTTCAGACATGGGTTATAGTGGATTGCCTTTTACTTGAACGAGAGGAAATCTTCACCAAAGGTTAGACTGGTGCCTTGCTAATGGTAAACTATGCTATTTGTTTCCTAGTGCATATGTTCATCATCTGGATAGATTGGGTTCAGACAATAGACCCATCCTTTTTCGTTTCAAAATGGCGAGATTTGATACAAGTGATAGACCGTTTCAGTACATTGCAGCATGGAATGATCATTCGAATTTCCAGGAATTTCTACAATCGGCTTGGAACAATGATGAAGGCCTTAATCATAATTTGAATGAATTTACGGGGAAAGTTAAAACCTGGAATTCTGATGTTTTCGGGCATATCGACAAACGTAAAAGGGAATTACTAGCAAGACTGAGAGGCATTGACTGTGTTCCTTATGATCTTCAAACGAATTCCTTGAAGGATATTCAAAAGGAGTTGATGTCGAAATTATTAGTAATAGAGTATGAGGAGAGCTTCTGAAGTCAAAAGGCTTGCGCTAATTGGGTACTTAATAGCGAACGGAACACTAAATTTTTTCATGCATCTGTTATGGAAAAACGTCGACGTCATAAGATTTCAGCTATCAAATTAGACAATGGTATTTGGTGTGCAAATGAGGAAGAAATTAAACTATTGGCGATACAATTTTACAGAAAGTTATTTACCAGTGAGGGAAGTGATGTTGTGGACTTACCTAGGGGATTATATGTGCGTGCTCCCTCAATGGAGGAATTATCCAGGCCCATATCAAATATAGAAATACACATGGCCGTATTTGACATGGCTCCATGGAAAGTACCTGGAAGTGACGGTTTGCGTACAGGTTTTTACTAAAAGAATTGGGCTATTGTTGGAGAGTCTGTTTTCTCTTTTATTCGAGATATTTTCGAGAGAGGTAGTGGCCATCCACTCTAAACTAGACTTTGTTAGTGTTACTCTCTAAGGTACTAATCCCGAAAAAGTTTAACCAATTTTGTCCAATTAGTTTATGTAATGTGTTGTATAAATCAATTACAAAACTAATTATTAATCGACTAAAACCTTATTTGCCACATTGGATAATTTTCTGAAAATCAGACTAGTTTTGTGTCTGGTCGCTCGATTGTGGACAATATTATAATTACTCATGAGGTGATCCATTCCATGAGACGTAAAAAGGGACGAAAAGGATGGATGGCGATTAAAATCGACTTAGAGAAGGCTTATGATCGATTGGAGTGGAGTTTTATCAAAGAATCTCTAAGTGGTCTGGGTATTCCGACGGACTTGATTCATGTAATAATGCAACGTATTGCCTCGTCTAGCATGAGCAAATTATGGAATGGAGGATGACAGATGAATTTCAACTTTTGCCAAGAGTCGGTCAAGGTGATCATTTATCTCCATATATTTTTGTTCTTTGCATGGAACGTTTAACATAAATTATACAATTGGTAGTAAACTCAGGTAATTGGCGACCGCTGCTCCAGGTATATCACATCTAATGTTTGCTGATGATATGGTGCTTTTCACTGAAGCAAGTCGGCAGCAAGATCAATTGATTCAGGCAGTTCTATCTCGTTTTTGCGCGGCTTCCGGACAAAAGGTAAACATTGCTAAAACCACAATGTTTTTTTTTTCTAAAAATGTGGATTTAAATGTGAACAATCAAATTAGCACTGAGTTGGTTGGGATTTCATCATTTGACCTTTCAAAATGAAGCATTTTTAATGAAACTTGCTTTTTAATATCTTGACGAACAAAAATAAGCTTTGGGTTCATTTTCTAATGGTGAAATATAAATGTGATACTGGTGTCCCAGAGGTAAGACATTCATCAAATGGTTCTAAGCTGTGGAATGATATTGAGTGTATTTGGGGGGATGTCAATCGTAACATAGCATGGTGTGTGGGAAATGGCTGTGAGGTTGATTTCTGGTTTGATGGTTGGCTTGATGATATCAGACCTCTAATCGAACATGTTATAGCTGCCGAAGTAGTGGGATTGCAAAGAGTTACAGTGGCTGATATGGCAGATGGATAAGGGAATTGGAAATGAAAGTGCTTTGTACATCTTTTGCCACCAAATATTCTACTCTGGATCGCAGCCAAGAGAAGTCCACAGTCATATTTCAGACAAGATATTGTTGGCTAGTTACCAAGTAATGATCTCAGTTTCTCAGTGAAGTCAGCTTACTCCATCCGCGCAAACCTTAATGAAGGAAATTGGGAGACAGTATGGAAAGTGATAGCAAAGTATTGAGGACCCCAAAAGGTGAAAACGTTTCTATGGCTTGTATGTTGCGAGCGGGTGATGACTAATGCGGAGCGTAAACATCGTCATCTTAACTTGGATAGCAGTTGTCCCCTTTGCAGTGACCCGAATGAGGATATAAACCATACACTACGTCTTTGTCCATCAGCACATACAACATGGGCGAGAGTGGTAAAACGAGATCGACTGCAATTGTTTATTCAAATGAATATTACCGATTGGATTACAATGAACCTGTGTAATTCTGCTCAATACATTGAAAAGAATGATGATTGGGATATTTTGTTTGCTGAGTTAGTATGGAATATTTGGATTTATAGAAATGCAGTGGCTTTTGATAACCCTTTATCCGATGAAAGTTCAGCACTAGAACGCAGTCTCCATTGGCTGGATATTAAGAAAAGGGCATTAGAGAAAGTGGTGACAAGAACTCTTACAAGAGAACAACGGTTATCAGACAATGAAAAATGGAAACCACCATCGTTGGGATGGTTTAAGGTTAACTCAGACGGGGATTGTTGTAAGGAAAATGGATTGGCAAAGTGTGGAGGGGTGATCCGAAACCATATGGGTAACTAGCAGGCAAGTTAGTCCAAGCTAATCGGCCTATGCTCAGTACTAGAAGAGGACTTATGGGGAGTGTATTGTGGTTTACTGTGCGCATGGGACTTGGTTGTCGACAAATTATAGTTGAGACGGATAGTTTGGAAACGGTCCAGGTGATAAAACATGGTAAGGATGGTACATTTCAATTTACACTATTACACATCATTCTCGAGTTGATGCAAAGGAACTGGGTGGTTAAGTTTCAGTATGTTTCCAGGCTTGGAAATCAAGTTGCGGATGGAATGACAAAATTAGCAAATAGGTGGAGCTCGAAATGCAAGGTTGTTATGGAGGCACCCAAGGAAGTGAAACAGATGTTACAAGAAGACCAACACAATAGCAATGTGTAATCGTTAGTTTACTCTTTGTTACCCAAAAAAAATGATAAGCTCTGTTCATCAGCAAATAAATTAAACCTATTGAAAATGAATGAACAAATTTGATTTCCGAACGATGCAAACCCATATTAAAACAATATAGTTGGTTTTAATCTCAGACACCATTACATATATATAGTAGATAATGTCTAAAAGTTTACACTTGACAGAAAATTCAGTACATCAATAGCTCCTCAACCCGGTGTGTCTGTCAAAAGAGTCGTGAGAATTGGGTCGTGACAATTCCCAGCCATCAACGCGTACACTCTCCAGCTCTGATTGTTGTAAATTTGAACCATTGATGATGGTGTTGCCATTTCGGGACTCTGCCAACATCTGAAAATATGCATGAGGTCCCCACCCTGCATAGTCCATTACCAACAAATAAGAAACGATGCTCATACGTCGGGTCAGGTTTTTGACCTATCCGACCCCGACCCCGAAATTACACCCCCTATACTCGCATTCGACCCAAGTTTAAGGAGATTCCACCCAACTGAAAATTCGACCCAATTTTTTAGGTAAAAATTTGTATCTGCATCCGATCAGATCCAGCACAAATATATATTTTAAAAAATTATTAGACAAAATAGGGACCTAATTGAAAAAAAATATAGAGATGGTATAATTGTAATTATCCCTAAATATACAATGGATAATTATACTATTTTCTCGGGTCGGGTAGAGTTTTTTCACCCTAAACCCAACTTCATCATTCAAAAAAGAAACCCGAACCTGAAATTTAAATAAAAAAAGATCCTATCAGATCGGATCAAAATTTGTCGGGTTCAGGTAAAAAATTATATATAATAAATGACACAACTTTTAGAAAGGTTTTGACACCCTTAAAAAAGAAATTGACCCCACATTTTCAAAAAATGATTTAATAATAAAGATTTTAAAACTTAATAAAAATTATGACACCGTAATATAAAATTTCTAGCTCCACCCCTCATCCCTACTTGCATCCTTTCCAGGGTGTTCATCGATTAAAAACCAAAGGAAAATTGTCATAACTCATAAGAATACTAAAAGTTGAGAAAAGTTTCCTGGGAAACATACCATCTACATCATATGGAGGTGGAAAGAATTGCAAGTAACAAAATGATGAAACTGTGATCCCTGTAAAAAGTATTAGCCGCACAAAGGAAAAAGTGAATTATTGCAAGAGTATAGAATTCAAAAAGAAGAAGAAGAAGAAGAAGAGAGAGAATAGAAGTGCCACTAGACAAACCTAAAAGAGCCCCGGCAAAAACATCTTGCCAGTGATGCCAATAATCATCGACTCGAGAAATTCCCACCAAAGCAGCAACAAGTAATGGTAGGAAGACAATACATAGCTTTGCAACATGGCCCCGACGATCAAATACTTGAATTTTTCCTGATAAGTACAATGCAAGAAAACCAAGACCTGCGAAGGACCCTGTATGTTTAAGAACAAAGTTACTATGAAGTCATTTTTCTAGCTGTGCAATAAACTCAATGTAAATAAATGCAACTCCCTAAGAAACAAGTATAAAGATCATATAATATGTAAAGTAATATCCTAGCCTAACTACTTAATATCATACAATATGTATCAACCTTAATATTCAGCTTATAAATCTGTAACACTGCTCCTCGAGTTGGAGCATAGATATTAATCATGCCCATTGTGTTATACAGATAGATAATCAATCCAAACCACAAGTCTTTGTGAAAATTATCTACTAGTTATTCAATCAAGTTGTTTCGAATTTCAAGATATATAAAACATTTATCTGAACTGCTATAAAGTATAAACATAGAACAAATAAGAATTTCAATGCTCCTATTTTTTTTTTTTTTGAATTCTCCAAATTGTTTACAAGGGGGTGGAACTGTTGCAGAATAAAAGGGGGGGAAACTGTTTCAAGGTACCAGCTATGTAATCAATAAGAACTATTTCACGTCACAATGCTGGAAATAACTAGAATACGTACATGAAGTGTGGCCACTGGGGAAACTTTTGTGTCCTTCCTTAATGACACTCTTTACTCCTGTACACATAACATCTTTTGTCACAGGGTCAAACACCTGCATGTACGATGAGCCGATGAATGTTGGCAAACGAGACTCTTGATTATGTATGCTTTAAATGACAAAAGGAAATAAAAGCAAAATTAGGGGAAATAGAGGCTGACTCCTTTCCCATCAGGGAAACAGCGCCAAAAGAAGTCTGGACGAGGTCGACCTACAGCATCTTTAATAGCATCGGTTATAACACCGGTTATAAGAACAGAAAACAGAAGGCCTGAATAATGATTAAGCACACCAACTGTTACTGGATGCAGTTACAAACATATAGAAGGTGATTAATTTTCAGAATCTCAGGGTAGATGATGTTTTACCCAGTATGGCATGGTGTAGATCATAAACATCCCTTCTGATGAAGTAGTAGACAATAATGACAAAAAACGGAAGTATTATCGCGAGCATCTGTTTCAAGGAAGAACATAGAATTATACTTAGTGTTTTCATAGAATGGTTCTGAACAAAATCTCTTGCCAAAAAGTGATTCCAGTATGGCAGAAAATGTCGAAGAAGAATCATACAGGAACGGCCCAAAAGGGAACAGTGTTGTCTTGCAAGGGGTATCTCAGGTCAGTCATCATATCCTCTCCAACAAATCGATGAAATGGTTCTATAACATTTAAGATGGCCTCTATGACAACAAGAAGCAAAAGAATAAGCCAGTCATGCATGTGAGTCCTTGCAACTTGAACCCCATGGGACCTTAAAGTGTGAGCACCCAACTGTATCTCTGGCATTTTCTCTGATTTTAAAAAAAAATGTGAAAGAAATCATTCATTATAACAAAATGAAGTCAATGTCCTATTGAAAAAACATAAGTAGAGACTATAATTTCCCAGATAGAAAATAAGAAAACAAGGGTTACAAGCACAAGCAGTCAGAGAATAGCAAACCGTAAATTAGAGACAACAACAACAAAAAATGCTAATTTTGAAGGAAGTAAATGACAAACAATATAAGACTATCCCGTTGAACCTTATACCAAATGAATTTAAATCTAACAGAAAGTTCAGAATCAGTTTTAGTGCTAGCATCAAAAGGACGATTGCCTTACAATTTAATCGAGAAAATAACACAAATCAAAGAATTTACTGAAGCAAAGAATACAAAAAAAAGGGAAACCAAAGAGACAAACAAACTCTGGCATTCAACTATGGTCAAACAAGTCAAGTAAAACAAGAGAGCTCCATTTTCTTTTTGGGTTTTAACCCGTCTCTTTTCTTGTATTCGCCTTCAAAATTTTCATAATAACCTAACAAAAATCACCAAAAGCAAAAGAGAGAGAGTGACTGAATATGAACTTACCTGTCGAAATATCCTTCAAGAAACCAACAGAGTTTCAGCAAACAGCAAAGTAAAAAAGCGCGTTTGTTTTAAAAGCAAAAGAGAGAGAGTGACTGAATATGAACTTACCTGTCGAAATATCCTTCAAGAAACCAACAAAGTTTCAGCAAACAGCAAAGTAAAAAAGCGCGTTTGTTTTAGTTTTCAACTAATTTGGGGACATTTTGAAGTTGATTCATAACGTGGAGTTAGTGACTGACAGACACACAGAAAGAGAACAAAAAGAAACAAAATCTCTTTTCTAAGTAAGAAAACTAATCCACCATTTCATTAATTAACCATATTTGAATCCTATCCTAAAAACGTATCATTAATTATTAGGGTAAATTATGAGATTAGTCTATTTTCTTCAGGGTCTATCCGATTTTGGTCACCAATTTAAAAATTAAGGATAAACGACCTCTAATATTATCGGTCCATCTGGTCCAAGTCACTCTACTGTTAACTCTTAACGAATATGTGACATAGCTGAGGGACTAAAATCTAATGGGAGTTAATGGTTGTTAGACTAAAATTGAACATGAGTTAATGGTTGTGGGACTAAAATCGAACGAATCATAATGTTAGAGGCTAAAACCGAATAGATCGATAATATTAGGGACCATATACCCTTAATTTTTAAATTGGTGATCAAAGTGGGTGAGATCGAAAACCAAGGAGACTATTCGCATAGTTTACCCTAATTATTAAATGCATATTTTTAAAATGATCCATAATAAATATATTGTTTTTTATTTTTTAAATATAATTTGCTTACCTAATTTTGATTTTTATGTGTAATGTAAACTTTTTTAACGCTATAGTTAAATATCTACTTTTATTTAACTTTTATTTTTTGTATATAAGTATTAATTTTTTTTTCAAAATTATATATATTTTAACGATGCAATTTGGTATTTAACTGTAGAACATGTTTTTTTTATTAATATGAGGTAAAATATATTATCTTTTTAATTAAATAACATTGAAATTGTAAATATGTCTCAAATAAAATTAAACATATATAATTTAAAAACTATTAGATATCTAATTATAATAAAAGAAAAAAATTAAATACTAAATTACATTTTTCAAAAAAATGTGAAGTATCACATTATACAAAAATATCAAAATTAAGTATTAAAATTTCAACAATTATATTTATTTTTAATTGTTGGTAGTCAAAATAGAACCAAAACTTAATGTTAATAATAATTTTGAAATAAAATTAAATAATCAAAATAAAATCACAAAAATAGATGGATGTCTACATATGTAATTTATCTTATAATTTAATATATAAAATTATATACCACTAAATTTTGTCACATATTCGGCATGAATAAAAATATACTTATAAAAAATATTTAATGAAATTTGTATAATCCATAAGATATCAATAGTTAAGGATGATTATTAATTTTAAAGATTTCGGGTTTGAGCATAATGTTTATATGGGTATTTTTTAAATTAAATTATTAATAGGGAAAAGTACATAAATGATCTCCTAACTATAGAGTGTTGTTTTGTTGAGTCAATTGACTATTAAAAGTTACAAAATGATCATCTGATAATAAGATGTTGCTTTGTTGAGCGCCAACTATTAAATAAAATAATCATCCAATTATTTATATGTTCCAAATTCGTTATTTTTCGTAAAAGAAAAATCAGATATTGTCTAAGTCGGACGTTATCATGCTCACTAGAATATGATAAAGATATGATTTTAGAACTGTTTGAGTTGTGTTTTGTGGATCAAGTCTTTGTTTACATTATGTCATCGAGCTAGTTCTTGAAACATTATGTTGTCGAACTAGTTCTTGAAACATTATGTTGTCGAGCCAATACTTGAAAGCAACGACGGTGCTAATAGACATCATTAAAATATGATTTTATTACATCTTAGTTAACATGTTAATCTCTAAACCAAACAACCATCAAACTTTAAACAGAAATAACGAGTTTAGAACATATAAATAGTAATATGATCATTTTATAATTTTTAATAGTCGATGGACTTAACAAAAATAATACCCTAAAGTTAAAGGATCATTTGTGTTCTTTATATGTAATAATATATATATATATATATTAAAAAATATAACATAAGGTTCAAGTTAGAATTTAAGTCTAGATCGAGCACGAGTTTGAGCTTTAATTAAGTTAAATTTGAGAATATTTTAAGTTCAATTTTTTTAGAGTTCGAATTGGGCTTTCATTTTTTTATTTCAAGTCGAACATGAAAATTTTAAACTCTAACGCTTTCAAGTCGAGCTTTAATTTTTTGTTTCAATTTTGAGCCAAACTTAACAATTATAAACTTATAAAATTTTCAATCGATTCGAACTCACTTTAAAAAATTTAAATTGAATCAAACGGAACAATACTTGCACTCAACTCGAATTATTTACTATCACACTCTAACCTTAACTGCATGAAATTAAACACGAGAGTCGAGAGCGTAGAGTTCCACCAGCCGCCAAGCGGACTTCTATTTACATTTTGATAAATATTAGTAACTTGCGATATTTAATTAAGCCGGTGAAGCAAACTTACGCAATACAATGCATCTCGTGGCCGAAGCACCCCATACATTACCGACGCAAATCCTAAGAAAAAACACAGCACAGGAAAACCGATTTCTCAGAAATTCCTTTTAATTTTGTTAAACACAACGAAGTTTTCTTGGGCCACTTTCCCATTACTATTCGTTTGTGCTTAGAAGAAACAATAACAAAAAATAAAAGTCATCTATTCAATTTCAATTCCAACTTTTTACCAAAGACTCCTTCAAAGAATAAAGGTGAAAGTTTTAGTCACGCTCTTATCCCTTCAAACAAGCCAAAACCCAGAAATTTTTCAGAAAGAGAGGGAGATTTTTTTCGGGCAGATGCTATATATACAGATCTTTGATGGGTTTTTGCCATAGATGCTTTTTTCGTTTCTTTTTAAGTTGTTTGTAAGATTTTTTTTAAAGGCTTTTGAAGATGAGTAGTGGTGGAGGTGGCCAATCTTCTCATCCTCAATGTATAAGCATCCGAGAAATAATCTGCAACGGAGGCGCTGGTGCTGCCGCAGGTAAGGCTTTTATTTTGTTACTTTGGTGTATTCGGTTAGGGTTTTCTTTTATCAGTTCTTGCGAATGAATTAAAAAGTTCGTGGAGTTTTTTGTTGCAGAAATAAGGCTTTGTAGGTTGATTCTTTGATTATGAATGTCAGGAAACACAACTGAAAATATGAGTGTCACTTTTAATTTGATCGGAATTTTGGATTTATTGATGTTCTTGGTTTCGAATTTGAAGGTGCAATTGCAGCCACCTTTGTGTGCCCTTTAGATGTAATCAAGACAAGGTTACAAGTGCATGGACTCCCTCAAACTTCACAATCTGGTGTTAGAGGTATTGTAGATTCTGAGCTTTTGAAACTGATTTTTATTGGCGATGCATGGTTTAGCACAAATACTCATATTGAATTTATTCCTTGTATGGTACTGGATTGTAAGCTCGAAGTAGTAACTGGCCATCCAGCTCAGTTGGTAGAGCACAAGGTTCTTAACTTTGAGGTCGTGGGATCAAGTCCCACGGAGGGTATTTCATAATTTGGAGGTTTCCCACGGAAGCTGCTCTCAACCTGGTGTTGGGGGCAACCTACTATCTTACCTCCCCTTACCCCATTACATATGGGAATAAGTGTCAGCTATTTTTTATTTATTTTCGTAAGAGATCTTTGGAATTCAAAAATCTTGCTCTGTTAGGCTGCTTCGCACCTAAAATTGATGTCTCTGCAAATTTGTGTTGCTAAGAGCTAGTATTATTTTTATAATATGGACTTCAGTTTTCTTTATAGGGCAAGAATGTTCGATTTTACATATTATGTGAAATTTTTTGTTCTTGAGTTCATGATATTGGTGTGTGTTGCTATCATTGATGATGGGCAACTCTTCTTTTTGCCTCGTTTCTTATCTATACACAGGTAGTGTCATCATAACAAGTCTACAAAATATAATAAGAAATGAAGGTTTGAAGGGGTTGTATCGTGGACTTTCACCAACAGTAATTGCTCTACTGCCAAACTGGGCGGTAGGTAACCTTTCACCCTTAAATCAATTAATTGGAAGCTACTTATTGGAGTGTTGGATTTTTTATCTCCATTATAGTTTATGTCTTTATGCTTCAGAATTCTAGTTTCTCTTCAAGTTTTTGACTTGTTAGTGATCTATGGTAGATGGACTGGTGATAGAGTGTTGGTGCTTTATGGTTTTGGAAAAATTTAAGATTATTTAGAGTCACGTGGTCATACCTGTATATGAATACTGAAGTTCCAAGAGGTGTCAGACACGGGTATGTTAGGATAAACAATAAACTGAAGACTCCAGATCACATAACTTCTGATGTAATGCTGGTGTAAATGCTACTGTGTGACCGTCTTTTACCCCCCTTATATTGCAAGCCCCAATGGGGAAGTTTATCCCTTTCCTCTATGATCTCCCCCTTCTATTTGAAGCTAGCTTTAAGCCAATCTTTGTAATTAAATTTCTTAATATGCCATGGAAAAAGGATTGTGTGAGATTTCTTGCCCCTGTATTATTCTATCATTATATCTGTAGAAGCAAAGTTTAATCTGCTACCATGTTCATAAACCGTTAACTTTTGGGAAAATTATTGATTCCAACTGCAAAGCAAAATACTTATTTGATATAATGTGTCTTCTGCAAAGTAACTGAAACTCTCATTTCATATGTAGGTGTATTTTACAATTTATGAGCAACTAAAAGGCCTACTCACTTCACATGGTTGGTTCTTGAAATTTTCTAAAGTTTTTATTTTCTACATAATCCAGCTTCAGTTGTTTTAATTTCTACTAAAGTTGTGCATTGTGATGTTGCAGATGATAACAGTGGGCAACTCACAATTGGGGCGAATATGGTAGCTGCTGCTGGTGCTGGGGCTTCCACAGCCATCACAACAAATCCATTGTGGGTTGTAAAGACAAGACTCCAAGTAAGTTCATTGTTATGCATGATGGTTCTTCTAAAAGTTATCTGTGGTTTGGATCACATTTTGTTGGTTTATTCACTTAAATCATGATAATCCATTCGTAAAACATAACTAGATGTGTTATATGACCTTGATATTGATGTACACATTACTTATAATTCAGAATTAAGTGGCTCTACTTAGTACCTAGTGTTGGTTATTGGAGTACATTCTCTTGTT